CCTCTATCTCCGCCAGGAAAATCCCGAAAACTCGATTTAAACTGGCATCCAGCTTAACAACCGGTGGAAATCATTACAGTAGAATTCTAACCAGAAAGCACCGCCCCCCACCCTAGCTTCCTCCTCACTGCAGCAAGTCCCTAGGGTTGGGGTAGGGTGAGGTGGATCTCTGGTGGATCCTGCCTAGGGGAATTCAGAGGAAGTACATCCCTGCCTCCTCCTTCCCCATCCTGTACCCTCTGCACCATTTTCCATCCTGTTTCTGGATTTGCGATGGAGTCTCTGGTCTAGAACTCAAAATTTCAAAATTTCAAAATTATTGAATTGATGTGGAGTAAGCAGGGTCCCCCTCCACCTTCCTCCTGGTAGAGCGCCTTCACCCCCTCTTCTACACTCCCTCTCGGCACCCACCGGGCTCAGGGAGGTGTCTTTGTCTTCCTTCAACCAATAAGAAATGGAAGCTCAGAGAATGGAAAGAAATTGAGGCTCCCCAAGCATGGAGAGATATATAACATTCTTCCTGGCATTTTGACTTCAAATTCAGACTGGCCTTGACATTCTCTCCTCCTTCCAAAGAGAGGGCATTTTCCAGAGGGTTCTGGTTCTCTGAGCACATTGCGCCCCGGGTCCTCTGAAGCCCTTGAAGACCATCTGGATCACCTTTTTTTGCTCTCCTGGCACCAAGGTGCCCAGCAGTGTGGGCAGCTGAGCCTGGAGCAATCTCTAGCCCAGGCAGTAGCTCTTCCCTCTGAGGTCTTTGCATTCAGTTCCAGCCTGGCTGGCACCTGCTGATCGAGTTCTGCCAAGACCATGATGGAGTGCAGGTGCCTAGTTTGACAATGACTTCAGGCAAGTCCTTTCCCAGACTCAGTTTCCTTATCTGCCAAGAGACGGAAAGTTGCAAAAGAAGACTCCTGGCATCTCTAAAGAAGTAGGAGGGGTGCTAGGTGCGTAATCCCAGCATCTGGGGAGCTGAGGCAGGAGGATTGCTACAAGTTGGAGAACAGCCTGGGCTATAGAGTGAGTCTCTACCTCAAAACAGACAGACAGAGAGGCAGACAAGTTTAGAAGCTTGTGACAGAAGGAAATCTCCACAATTCTTAGGACCTTCTAGGGGGTAGATTTCAGCCGGGGAGAAACCCTTCCCCAGTGCCCAGATAAGCAGTTAGATCATGTGTTCAGTATGCAAGCCTACCTGGGATTCACATCTGACTCCCATGTGCTAGTTCCCACTGTGACTCTGGGCCACTTTATTTCATCTCGGTGCTTTGATGTAACTAATACAGATTAATAACAGTATTGGCATCGTGATCACAAATGGGCTGATACAATGGGTTAGCTATTAATGTAATTTCCCGAGACCTCTGAACACAGCTCCACCCTTCCCAGTCCTGTTGGTCTCTATCACAGAATGTCATTATTCCTATTCTTGTACTGCTGCTTGGGGAAGCGCCAAACACCCACATCAAGTCAGATGGTTGGAATCTTGTTTGTTATGTTTCTGAGTACTGGGTACTGGGTACTGGGTACTGGGGATGGAACCCAGGACCTCACAGGTACTGGGTAAGTGCCTCTACCGCTGATCTAGTTTCCCAGTGGCCTTTACTTATTGCCTGCTAAAGAAGGAGTCCCGAGTCTCGTCAGTCTTTCTCTCCTGACTAACCACCACAGGCAGAGATGGCTGTGTGTCCTCAGCACACAAGGATGAGTAACGGAGAGAGAATCCCAATTGACCCGTCTCACCATGGAGGATCCCGCTCAGAGGCAGGTAGTAGACCTGTAGCCCACATAGCTATCCCGATGTTCTCTCTTCTGTTGTATAACACACACACACACACACACACACACACACACACACACACACACACACCAGCTCCACGGGGCATTTCTGTTTTGTTCTCTGCTTCATCCCAACACCCAAAACACTGACTGGCACAAGACAAACCCTGGATAAATAAACATTAATTTTTCAAAAGGTGGCAGAGGTAGCCAGCCCAGGGACAGGATTTGTTTTGGTAGCAGGATCTAGTCTTATTTTCTATCCAGAGGTGATGGTTAACCAATCTATGACTAAGAGAGAAAATAAGAACATGCTTCAGATCTACCCCCTTGAGAGTTTTCTATCTTGGTCTGTAAGTCTCTCAATTATCCACAGGGACTTTTTTTCAGTGTCCACCCCTCCCAACCTGCTTAGGGGGCAGAGCTTTCTACGTGTCTGGATTTAGGACCCTGTGGGTCAGTGAGTCTTCCTTGGCTGTGGGTAGTGTCATTTCCTAGACCCAGCTCGTCTTCCCCATTGCTTTCTTCAAGCACTGAGACAACCCAGAGGGTCAAATTCTTCTTGTGTTTTGGAGTGGGAGGGAAAGGACAGTACCAACTATTAGAGATGATTGGTATTCACAACACTGTCTGCCACCCATGGGTTCATCGATAATGTCTCCGGTATCCAGTCAAACAGCATCACCCTCACTGCAAGTCCGAGACCCATCAGCAAGCCCATTTTACAGATGAAGAAATAGAGATTTGACCAAAGTGACAGCTTCGTAAAGAAGAGGGAGCCAAATGAGGATTCGGAGAGAGGCTTTAGGGACAAGTCAGAATCTTGGCCATATACATAGCCATACATCTAAACCACCTGCACCTCTTCCTAGTTGTGAGGCAAATAGTCAAGTCTCCATTCCTCATTTTTCTCTTCTTCAAAGGGGGCTAAGAACAAGATCCATGTCCTTTAATTGAGAGAACTTCAGGATTAGATACATACAAATAGAAACATCACCATCAACAGCTTCAATTTATGCCTCTCTTTGCAAACTGTGGCTGCCTAGTGTGTCCTTATTTACCCGAGTATGAACTGGGAGGTGTTGGAGGGAAAGGTGAGGTTCATTTAAGATGTCACAACCCCCTAGGGAGAATCAGGTGGATGAGACCTCTAGCCCCAAGCTCCCCTGAGAAAGAGTCTAGAACTGCCTCCATAGATTTTTTTTTTCCTTTCAAACAAAGAAAAGTCATTTAGGGGACTAGGGAGATAACTCAATGGTTAAAAGCACTGGCTGCTTTTTCAAAAGATCCAGGTTTGATTCCTACACCCACATGGCAGCTCACTTCCATCTGTAAGTCTGAAACTCCACTTCCAGAGGATCCGATACCCTCTTCTGGTTTTTGAGGCCACCAAGCGCTCACGTGATACACAGATGTACTTGCAGGCAAAACACCCATATTCACAGAATAAATAAATATATAAAGCTATTTTGGTTTCTTTTCTTTTTAAGAAATAGAAACTTCTCCCCAGACTCCTCTCTCATGAGCATGTTGGTGATAAACTGGGCACAGTCACACACACCTTTAATAGCAGCCCTTGGGAAGCAGAGGCACGGAGATGTCTGAGGCTAGCCTGATCTACATAGTGATTTCCAGGACAGCTAAGGTTACATAGAGAGACCATGTCTCAATATATGTGTGTGTGTGTGTGTGTGTGTGTGTGTGTGTGTGTGTGTGTGTGTGTGTGTATAAAACCAACAACACACAGAGTTGTTGGTGATAGGTCTGGTGGAGCTGATCTCCACTTTCAGGGCACACTAAGGCTTTGTCAGAGGGTCCCATGCATCTAGCTCTCCCAGGCCACCCCACACTCAGTCAGATGGAGTGAAGAGCGGCATGGTGTTGAAGGGGTTCCCTTCTGCTACTTCTTTCACAAAATACTGTAAAGCAAATTTTTTGCCACTGAATGTTTTCCCGTTCTTTTTAATAGAACCCCTGGAAGAGCCTTTTTATCCTCTGTTTTCATGGTCCCTGCTTGCGAATGAGACCCCCAAAGTTACGGAACAGAAGGATGAAGTAGCTGAGAGCTTCTGACCGTGAAGTGCATAGTAAAACCAAGACCAATGCAAACTTAACGCTTTTTAAGTGGATGCTGTATCGTTTTTATAATTCATCTATCCATAAGTCATTTCACTTATTGATAAATATTGACAGTACAGCTGAAGATGGAGAGAGAGAGAGAGAGAGAGAGAGAGAGAGAGAGAGAGAGAGAGAGAGAGAGATCTGAACAAGCCTGAACAAGCATCCTGAACAAGGAGAAACTCGTCAACGTTTGGCCAGGCGGTGTCCCACAAATGAGACACCAGGGAGGAGACCCCCCCCCAAACGAAGGAAAGGAACGCACGGGAAGCACCATGGCGGGTGGAGTGGGGAACACACACTTCTGACTCCCCGCTTCTAACTTACTGTGGGTTCAGAAACCGACTATAATGGATGTTGGGACAGTATGTAAAGCAGTGTCGCATAAACGACGTCCAATCCAGAAGAGGAGAGTGAAAGGCGGCTCTGACGCAGCCCTCCGTGTCCTTTCAGTTTAGAAGAGGGCGGGGTGGAAAGGGTAACCCCTAACTCGGAAAGTCCCAGAACCCGGCGTGTAGGAACCGAAGGAGGTCTTAGAGGCAGAATAAAGTTCCCAGCATTGACACTGGGTTTCAGCCCACCTCGGCCCACACCAGCAAGAGGCGTTAGTCACAGAACTTTCAATTAGGTGTCGCGGAGAGGGGAAGGAGCGTACACGGCTCTATTAGCTAAGAGTGATTCCTCTCTTAGCTAAGCTGCAAGCACACCTCAGTCCTCCTTCCCAAGGGGACTTGAGTCTGAGGCGATATCCTTTAGCTCTGGTACCCTCCCTCCCTGCTGAAATCTGAGGTGCACGAAGCCAAAGAGATGCAGGCGTGGAGGCCAGGAGAGTGTTGCAAGAAAGATGGTGAATCCGCTGCCCTTGGGAAAGAGGCCAATCAATGTTCTCTCCCAACCTCCGCAAGGCGCCCCTGACCCAGTACTCATCCCCCCCCCCTCCCCAAGTCTGGCACCCTCGAAGGTCTGGAGCCGCAGCGCGCCCCCGTGAGGCCCAACCTGGAGGTTTTGCAGCACGCAGTTGATCTCGCGCTGGTCTAGGTCGGTCCGGCCCGGAGTGGGGCGGGGCACAGGGGGTGCAGACGAACCCCGCCAAGGGTCCTTACCTCCGCGCGCGCGGGCATCCGTCCGACCAAGCGCAGTTTGCTGCTGGGACTGCGGGGCTAGGGGGGCTCCCACGGGCTCGGACCGCGCATCCCCCCGCCCCGAGCCCCCAGACCCTTCGGTGGCTTTGAGCAGGGTAGCCGGGACCCCGGCACAGGCACCGCGCGGGCGGGAGGAGGCGGCTGCTGCGGGGCGCGGCGGGGCGGGGCGGGGGTATCTGCCGGGCCCCGCCCGGGAGGGGGACGTGGGAGCGCTTATCCCGGAGAACAAAGGCAGCTGGGGATGGCTCCCCCCACCCGCCTTCCTCCTGGGGCCTGCCCCTGAACTTGAACTTGTACTTGACACTTTGTCCGGAAGGTGGCGAGGAAGCTTGTCTGAGTCGGGACAGGACTCGCCCGCCACCTTCGGTCCGGGAGGCCAGAGAGCTTGCACTCCGCTGGGACCCTAGGGAGCCCTGATCTCCAGGGCCCAGTGTCGCTGCAAACCGCCCGGCGCTCCAGGGCCCTGGGGTTCCGGGCTCCCTCCAGACTGAGGGTGCGGAGGCCTTGGGTGTCGGGGCCCCGAGCCCCAGGCGGAGCCCTGCTCCCCGCCGCGCCCCTCCTCCCGATCCCGCGCCCGGCCCGCCGCCGCGCTGCGCGGGGCAGGCAAGATTCTCTGCACGTCGCGTCGGCAGGCACTATTCAGCCGCTAATTGAACGTTAATGGCAGGTGCGGATGAGGTCACCGGAGCTGGCTTTTCTCACACATTTTTCATGCAAATTCGCGAAACTCTAAACAAATTTGAATAAAAAGCTCTTTGTGCCGCCCGCCTCTTAGTCCTCTCCTCCCAGCCCAGGATCTTGGCTCCTCCCGGTGCCCCGGGGCTCCAGCCTGCAGTTCTGGCCGCGGGATCTGGGCGCCCCGGGGAGTGCCGACTGGTAGTCGGTGGTTCTGGCTCCAACTACTCGGTGGTTCCGGCTGCTGTGAGCCGGCGAGAGAGTTTTTCATTTGGGATCTTGGGGTCAAATCGGGCTGGCCAGCCACCAAGCTTTTTAGGGGGGCAGTGGGTAAGCAAGCATCTGGCGACTGGACAGACAGGCATTCCACAGCTGACATCTCACATCTCAGCAGCGCTCAGCCACCTTGAACAGCTTCTTGGTTCTTACCCTCTCCGTAGCTTAGATGGGGATAAGGATGGACGGTGCCCAGCTATGCACACCAACGCCTGAGGATTAAATGTAATTTGGGGCTGCGCAAGCACTTAGAGCTGTGCTGGGAGCAAGAAAGTGTTAATTATTGTCTGGGGTACAAGGGCCTGTGAGAATGAAAACTGATGAAAGCATGATTGTGATTTTGCGCATACATGAAAAAACTTGTCAAAGGCTTTCCAAGCCTCATGACCCCCTGCTTCCCATTCTGTTCATAGAGATCCGGAGCCCAGGGCCACTGTTTCCTCACTGTGTGGCTCTGACTGTGTCTAAGCCTCTCTGAGCCTCGGTTTCCTAAAGTGGAAAATGTGATCATCTTATGGGATCATGGTGACAATGGAGGAGACATTGCTTGAGGCTTAGGCGTACACTGGGACCGGGTTCCCAGTTCAGAACCTCCAGCACTCCTAAGTCAAGACACTTACACTCTCGAGCCTGAACACAAGCTAGGCTTCTGGCTGCCCTCCTGACCCTAGCCCAGGTAAGAGAGCCGATCGTCTGAGGCTTCTCACTCCATCCTCCCCATCACACCTCAATATCCCATGAGCTGTCTTTGCTAGTGATCGGATCTTCCTTTCCTCACTCTTGTCTGCCCAGAAAAAAAAAATTTATTAGAGACAGAGTCTTCAAACTTTTATTTGTTGTGAGCTGGGATAAAAGAGGCAGAGGGTTCCCAGGGTTGGAAGAGTCCTTTCTCTCGGAATTTCTCTTAATTCTCCCTCAGGGTTGTCCTGAAAAAAACAAACAAACAAACAAACAAACAAACAAAAAACCCGATGGTTTGTGGAGAGTCCCAAGGATTCATGAACCTGAGTGTCATCTCTGCTCTCCCCCGTCTGCTCCTCCAGCCTCAGCCTTGCCGCAGCCCCCCACAGGTCCACCTCTGAGGAGCACTGGGGTGGACCCAGGAGCATCCTTACCTTTCCATCAGTCTTTTAGGTCAAGAACCCGAAGAAAGGGCAGCATCTGCAGAGTGCAGATGACCAGCCCCCAGGAAGCAGACAGCATAGTCCTCAACAGCAATCCTAACTGAAGGCCCCCAATCTGCATATGGCTCTGAATTCCTTCTCCAGCTCTAATGCCCAGGCTCCGAGTCTTGACATATCCCAGAGATGAAATTAGATAGAATTAGGGAAGGCCCCAGGCATGATATTGTAGGAACCTTGGAGGGAGAGATTAATGTCTCCTCATATGGAACGGGGGGGGGGGGGGGGCGGAGAACGGGGATGGTTAGGGCTTAGGAGACCTCTCTTAAAGTGGCCCAGGCAAACAGGATATATTTGGGGTTAGGAGACCAGACTGCAATCAATGAGGTGGGTGTTAATCTCAGTTCTGTCACTTTCCAGCTGTGACTTGGGACATGTAACAACATTTCTGGACTTTCGTGTCACCTGTAAAATGAGTGGACTAGTGGCTCCCGCAGTATAAAACTGGGGCTCACTGCACCAGAGCAGCAGACCTGACCTGACAGCACCACCCTGCTTCCCTCAGCTGCCCTCCAAGTCCAGGGACCTCCATGGGTTTCCCAGGTTCCCCGGTCAACTCGACTGTGAATCTTTGCTGGCTCCTAAGTCTCAGGACCCAGCACAGAGCTCGGTGGGATGTTGTACCTAGACCTATGTTGGATGCCAAACCGCAAGGCTCAGCTCCACATTGTGCTTTACGGGCACCCTCAAGCAAGCAATTTACTCCTTTGGGGGTAAAGCCAGGCAGGCATTTGATTAGCACTGGGAGCAGCAAGGTCAGGCAGTGTCTCTCTGGACACATGCTGTGTATGCAGATAGAGCCTTTCAGAGTCAGTCCACTCCCGAGGCCAGGCTGTCCTCAGCAGGGCACTTCCATTGGGCTAAAGCAGGTAGGTGCGCCTACTCCTAATCAACACAGCCACAAAGCCCCCCCCCCCTCCAAACAGCTCCTCCCTGAGGGAAATCAGAACCACACTTGATTTACCCATTCTAGGATACTGACTCCGCCCCTCACTTGCCAACCAGCTTGGAGAAACCCTCTGATTTCCTTGCTCTGTCTCCTGCAGAGGTGAGACTGAAATATGATGCTCCCCTAAGCAAGAACCAGAGAAGCCAAGCCTGGCACATAGTAGGCTTTTGGTTAATAAGTAGCAGCCATGATGGTACACGTGACTGGTAGGCTGCAGTAACACCACTGGCCAGAGGCCGTCAGTACTGTTAAGACACTCTTCCCTGCCACATCACCACCTTGTCTTAGTGTGTCTACCCTTTCATTGGCTGAGAGGAGTTAAACCTATTAGGTGATTACTACTCTGTTTTCAATAAAAGCATTTCACAAACACAGAGAAAAAACAAACACAAACATCCAGGAAGAAATCCCTCCCATTTCCCAGAGGTTGCTGTCCAGTGTTCATGTTCAGGAACCATCCATACACAGACATAGACAAGCTTAATGGCCGATACATTTTATTTGACTCTAGGCTTCTTGTGTGTTGTATGTATTTTATCACTGAGCTTCACATACCTCGGACTCCATGACTGACTGTTAAATGTATACAAACAAGAACATACTTGAACGTTCTGTAATTTGTTCTACTCACTTAAGTATATTAGTCAGCCTTCCTATCAGCCTGCAAGCAAAGATCTACCACACTTTTACAGCTGTGTGGTGTCCCACAGTATTAAATGACCCGTTAGTGAACCACAGTTCTTCTTAGCAAACGTTTCCAGTGTATCTGGAGGAAATTTCTAGTCATGAAATTAGTAACCAAGTATATGTGCCTTTTACATTTTGACATTGCAACATTTCAGAAAGTGTTGTAGTTTCTACTCTCCAACAAACTGCACACAAACATCTAACCAGTGGGACAGAGGCACCAAGGGGTCCCCCCGAGAATAGCCCTGCACTGGCCTGTAGTGTAGAGCAGCACCTAGTGGCCTGCTTCTGTTCAGGCTTGTGCAAGCTGGGGGCCCAAGGGTGCCCTGCGTCCCAGCGGAGTCGGATGATAGGAGCACTGGGAGCGGAGGGCAGTCGAGTGTGGCTGGGGTCCCGCCTGAATGCTTTCTTGAAGCCATTGTCTCTGTCCCGCCCCGGTCTCCTTAACAGGAGTTGATTCAGGGTTTGTGTGGAGGGGGCTGGCTGTGCAGGAGGGGGTGGGTGTGCAGTCCTCACCACAGGCACCCAGGAATGTGTCACAGGAGGGAGAGAAAGAGGAAGGGGGGAACCCATGCCTGGGAGAGACAGGACGTCAAGAACCCCTGACTAATGAATAGCGAGGGTGCCCTTGAACCTCACTGGGCTTCCCCGTTCTCAGGCCCAGAACAAGAGCCGAGACACATCTGAGCCCAGCTGCACAGGATGGCGTGGTTCATCTGAGACACTTTGACAGGCTGAGCCTTTTCCCTGCATAGCTCCGATCTGCCTCCCAGCTCCCCTGGCAACAGCACAGCAGCATGGCTCCTGGTTCCAGGCCCTGCCTGCTGTGAGCGGGAGGAGGGAGGGAGAGGAGCACCAAGAGGAGGACAGCTGGGGAGGAGAAGCATCTTTAACTCCTGGGAGGCTGCAGTCCCTTCCTCTGGCAACTTCCCAATGTGCTGCCGGGTTCTTTGGGGGTGGAAATGCCAGTCATGAAGCTTCCATTTCCCAAGTGCCTGGACAGAGTGTCCCCACGGCACATCAGACCCAGAACAGTCCTGAAAGGTGTGGCGTGGGCAGGCACGGAGGAGATGCTAGGCCAGCAGGCTGATGACAAAGGCCCTCTAGCAGGGCTCCTGCTGAGTCCCTGGTGGCAGGGGCTCCCTGTACAACAGCCTCAGGTGGTTCTGAATTTTCCTTTCCTGCTGCACTCTGCTGTGTCTGAAGCAGCTCGGCTCTGTAGGCTCTGTGTTGGGCCTGTGACCCTGGCAGGAGTTACCACTTCTCTGTTCCCATAAAAGCTGAACTGCCTGTCCCATCACTGCCCTTCACAGGGCCATCTGAAGACAAGAGAACAGTCTATGAGCAGCTTGCACTCGGGGAGGCAGGTGTCCTGTGATCCCATTCAGGTATTATGGGGGCTGGGAAGGGGATAATGGGGAGGAGAGAGGGTCTTCCAAGGTTATGTCAGGATCTCCCCAGCAGGGAAGTTCCGGAGCTGGAAAAGGACTCATTTATGACCATGGTCTTTGGGGTCTCTGAGAACTTAGGAGATAAAAGAGATGGAACTTACTCTTCCAAAGTATTTTTTTCTATATTATTTATATGTCTTTGTGTATGTTTATGTGAAAGGTATGGTTATTATTATTGTTATATTTTGAGCCTAAGGATACATCTGAAGGTCTTGAGCATGCTTGGAAAGCTCTCTACCTTGCCGGGCAGTGGTGGCGCACGCCTTTAATCCCAGCACTCAGGAGGCAGAGGCAGGCGGATCTCTGTGAGTTCGAGGCCAGCCTGGGCTACCAAGTGAGTTCCACGAAAGGTGCAAAGCTACACAGAGAAACCCTGTCTCGAGGGAAAAAAAAAAAAAAAAGGCATTAAAGAAAGCTCTCTACCACTGAAGCCTATCTCCACCCTGTTTCTTATTTTAGAAATGTGGAAACAGTGCTATGCACTGGCCCAGGGTCACCCTGGTCACACACGGATATTGGGTTCGCACCCTGTAGACTTCACAGCCACACTTGTTTCCGCTGTACCTGTAGTGGAATCATCTGGCTGGAGAAGTCAGGGAGAGAAACCAGATGTTAAGAAGTGGTGCCTTCGTGGAGTCTAAGGGGCTCTGGCCCAGGGAAGGTCCCAAATATATGACAAACCTTCCTGAAGCCACCAGGGCACTGTTCAGAACATCTGAAACCAGAGGAGAAGGCAAAGCATCTGACTCAGGCTGGAAGTACACCTAGCCAAGACATACACTGTCTGGCCCAGGCCTTTGCTCCAGGACAGGCCACTTTCCAGTTCAATGCTAAAGGTCAGCAACGGGACAAGCTTCTGGGTTTTTTGTTTGTTTCTTTCTTTCTTCGTAGGCTTTAGTAGAGGAATCTACCTGTGTCCCAGGGCAGCTTGAAGGAGAAAAGGCTGAGTTGCCTGAAATTCAGGGAGCAGGAGGTAGGGTGACTTGCAGGTAACAAAGCAGAAAAAATAAGAATTCCCAGTGTAAAATGTAGGGGCTGAGTGGCTGCAGACACAGCCATATCCAGTGTTCCTTTTCCAGGCCAGGAGAGGAAAGAGGCTTGCCCAGTGCACTAAACAGGATGGTGAGCTGGAGGGTGAGGAGCCTCTGACTTCCAGGTGAGTGGGGCTGGTCTTCTAGTGACCTTGTTTCTTTACTAGGCCACCTTGAACCCTGCAAGGGAAAGATTTCAGTAAGGAAAAAGAAAACTCAGAGGAAGTCACTATTGTCAGGGTGCATATGTCCAGGGCAGGGATAGTTTCCAAAATCCTGGGCTGAAGACTTATGCTGCCTTGAGGCCAGAAGCTCTCTTTAGTAAGCTGTGGCTCCATCCCCGCTCCAGCATCACACTCCCAGACAACAGGAGCCACTAACACCCCTAGAGGAAGAAGCAGAGGCCTGAGGAGGTGAGTCAGACAGAGGACCGGCCCCTAGTCCTTGGCCCACAGTGCTTCTGAAAAGGACTCTGAGAGATCCAGATGAAGCTCAGCCCCACAGAGAGAGGCTGGGGCAGGTTTTCAGCCAGCCTGGAGCTCAGATCAGACGAGGGTGTGCCCCATGGGGGGCAGATCTGACCTGGAGAGAGAGCAAAGGAGAGGGGATCATGCATCCACATCCGGCTGTCCTGTCAGGAATTGCCCTGAGGGAGATTGTGTGCTTGTTGAGGGATAGACACCTATGTGACGGAACAGAGACAAAAAGACTAATGGATTGATTTGGGCCCAGCTGTGCCCTCTACTGTGGGCTGCTGGTTCAGACAAGTTGCCGTACTGGTACCAAGGCCGGTTGGTAGTTAACACTCTGAATATCACCACCGTTTCCATCCTCCTCCCCGAAACACAGCCCTATTAAGTGACCTTGAAAAGGTTGCCTCTGTCCTATCTGTCACATAGCTGAGGAGAAGAGCCAGTGTCTGCACCAGGCCCAGCAATTCCACAGTGAGAGTTCTTCCAACATTACAGATGTGACTTTAGAGGTCCTGGGGATCTAAGTGCCCGTGAATCGAGGGCTGAGTGTCTGTCCATAGCATCTATTTGTCTGTCCCTCCCTTCTCTCTAGCCAGGGTTTTGCCTGCCTCCGGGTCGTCACAAAGCCCCAGAACTACCTGGGCCTGCATTCACATCCCAACTTCAGTTTCTAAACTCTCTGGGCTTTCTCAGAACCACTCAAACTAATATGGAAAGCATAATCACTCTGCTGCCGCGCGACAAATCCCTCCCCCTGGCCAGCTCTGACAGCACTTTTCTGGCTGACCAGGAGAATGACTACCTGTAACACACAGACACTACTTCTAATTGGGATTGGCAGCTGGAAGATCTAGGAGCTGAAATACAGTTAAGGGCAGCTACGGAAAAAGAAAGGCCTAGAGAAAGGACTAGAAAGCACCCGATCTGAGGAAGTTTTCTTCTCAGGAACAAAGAACAAGGTGATGCCTGGGGGCAGGCAGGACCCCTCTCTTAGCTTTCACTGGGCACGACCCATCCCGGGTCCAGCCCAGCCAAGACTGCTGCCTCTGGAGGGGAGCTGCGCTTGGAATGTGATTCTCCAGCTTTGCCATGACACTTGGTTTTGCTCCATTAACAGAGTGTGACTCTTCAGATCCCTGTCACCTCCTAAAGCCTCAGCCAGCCCGCCCCCCAGCACCACACTGATCACCAGATTAAGGAGCTCAGATACAGCTGAGGCAGCAGCTGAGAGAGGGATGGGGCCGGGAGGGCAGCAGACAACTCCCCCAAGGCCCTGCCATCTTGTCTCCCCCCCCCACCCTACTCAGGCACTTCACTCACTGTCTGGCTTCCATATTCTTCGTCACTGACCTTTGGCTACCCCACCAGATTCCCAGCTTGAGTGAGAAACAGCTCAGGGGGGCAGGGAAGAGGTGCTGAGATGAGGGAGGTGGGAGAGGAAACTGGCTAGAGCCATGCACTAGGAGGAGAAAAGCCCAGGCTCACCTGTTGTCCACGATGAGGCCATCTGAGGCCAATCACAGGGCTCCCTGTTGGTCTCTGGCCAGCTGCCTGCTCTAAAGCAGAGGACCTCCCACCATGTCTGAGGAGAAAAGTCTGGCAAAGAAGAAACCAGAGAGGGAACCAACTGGGCACTAGACTATTTTCCCAAAGACCTCAGGATTTCTGGACCCAAAGACATCCCAACTTATTTAAGACATACACAGAAGTCAGGAGTGGTGTCGCATATCTTTAATCCCAGTACTCAGGAGACAGAAGCAGGCAGATTTCTGTAAATTCAAAGCCAGCCTGGAGTAAGTACATAGGGAATTCCAGGATATCCAGGATTACACAGAGATTCTAAAATTTGAACGCGCGCGCGCGCGCGCACACACACACACACACACACACAGAGAGAGAGAGAGAGAGAGAGAGAGAGAGAGAGAGAGA